CCTGCTGCTGTGGTGATGGACAGTAATGAAATCTGACTTAGCACGACCTGAGAAAGGGGTTTATTAGCTCCTTAGAAGTTAGAAAAGTTTTGCTTTGTTCAGAGTCAGCTCTGAAATTTTACCTTCAGAAATGGTTTATTTCTGGCTTTAAGTCTCTGTGCTCATGTTGAAGGTTTTTCTCTGAGATAGACTATTAAGCCTCAGCTTGGCACTACTACTTTTCCTAATACCCTTTCCTTTACATGGAATCACTGATATGCTTTAGAAAGCTGTCAGAAAAGAAGTGGCTTTCTGTTGTGAAGAAGGTTCTTGCTTCTTGATTGTGTGATTGCTTAGATCACAGAAATCAGTGCTGTTCAGGAAGACAATAGCTGCTCTCTTGTGAGGCCTGATGTACCTTCTTCTAGTTTAAAAAGTCAGACACCTGACATCCCTTTAAAACAATTTTCATTCCATGTTTACCCAAAAGCTTTGAAGTTGTGCTGTCTGCTCATACAGTTCAGTGTTGAATGGCAACTGTGAACAATTCAATCCTTTTTCTTGTGTGTTCTTACCACTGACAGAGAACCCAAGGCACTGTTGAGGGAGATCTAGTTGTGTGCTTTGTTCGTTTCTTTGTTTTAAATAATGGTTAGTAGTAATCCTATTCTGGAATTCTAATTCCAGCCACTTTGCAGCATTATAGAACGTGTTGGCCTTTCTGAAATTTGCCATGTGTGACATGATGTTCAGTATTCTTTATGAATTTGTGGGGGGTTTTTTGAAAGGTGAAAAGCACTAATAAAAGTTTTTGTGTTTTAACAGCATACTTCAACCAAACCAGGGACAGAATGCCCCAGTTCATAGACTGCTTTGCAGACAAGGGTAAGGCACAGCATGTTGGTAGCCTAAAGATGGAAGTAAATGCAAAGTGCAAGAGCACAGTGATTGCTGAGTAATGCACATACTGATGCAACTGTTGGTCAAAGTGAAAACAATTACTTCTCACAGTATTTTGAGAGAGTGATGAAGTTTTACCTTGTACTGCAAGAAATTATTTAGTGTTCTCATCGTCTTGTGTATTGTCTCCATTTACACTGTTCTAACATTTCTATTTGTAACATTCATTCCATGAAGCTTTGCTTCCACTTAATGAAATATGTGTATTTTATGTGCAGACTGTAACGCCACAGTATCTGAACTGAATCAGTTTTTTGTATAGAGTTGTTAAATCCATTCAGGGCAGATGTTCTCCTGCTTCATGTATCTATGTAAGCCATAATAATGTCAATAGGAACTGTGTACATGCTCAGGAGGAGGCTCTGGGCGACACTGTAGAAATGTTTTAATGCCAAACACAGTTTGATAGTGTCTATATTTTTTGTATACAGCCTTTCAACTTTGTTGCAAGTGACTTACTTATTAACTCTTTTATATTTAATTAGAAACTCTGAGCCCTCAGTGAATGGGTTTGAGCAAAATAGAAAGAAGGCCTCAGAGAGCAGAGTGTCTAACAAGGCTGGTTCAGGTGTGTAGAAAATCTGGTGCTTGGATCTTATAGTAAATAAGTTACTAGTAGCTAGAAAAAGTAAATGGGCAATATATTGTTTTCCTTTCCTTGTGCACCTGCTTTGCTATGTCTTAAATCTAACCTATCTCTTCAAACCAACATGTGCTGGTAACTTTAACCATCCACCTCCAGATTCTATAAACCTAATGTATAGAATGTGCTGCACGGCTCATTTGCTTTCACTCACCAGATGCCCAGTTGGAAAGAGGTTTGCCAGATATATTCAGTGTAACTGTTGAGAAACTGCTAGTTGTCAAAATAGGCTGGGATTAGAATCTTAACATCACTTGGTTCTTAGTTCTGTCCACACATCTTCAGCATGGAGCCTAATGAAAGGACAGGAAGGACAGTTGCAGACTTAGCAGTGCACATTCAGTCATCATACAATCCTAAAATTACATATATTCCTGTAGCATTTTACATGTTTGAGTCTTAATGAGCCAAGTTTAAAAGTGGAGTATTCCTGTGCTTGCACACAGAGAGGATTGATTGGTTACCTTTTATTAAAAAGGTTTGATAGTAGTGCCAAACCTCTTTGTTTTCAGCCTGTTCAGGCATGAAGAGAATAGATCACTAAGAAGCATCTTAGTTTCTATTTTTTTTTACCAGATTTTAAATTTCTAAAGGGACAAATTTAATTTATCGAAAGGTAAAGTGGTTTATAGGTTTTAAATCTGTTTTAAGGTCTGAATTGCATTCTGTTCTCAAAGGAGAGTTCTATAAGTCAAGTATGAAAATAGTGCATTTTGGGGATCAATAAGGCAAATGTGTAATGTAGTAGAATTTTGACTGTTTTCCATAGCGATCTGAATTATCTTTTATGTATTAAGTGTCAAACCTTTCCTGGAAGGGAATTTTTGATTTATTGCTGCCCTGGAGCAATGTTGGCAGGAAATAGCTCTGAGTTTTAGTGCAGTGTTTTACACTGTTTAAATGTGATGTTTTCCCAGATACCACCTTGTGAAGTCAAGAGAAGTGGCCACAGAAGGATGTTTAGTAAGGCAGTGTGCATATACATCTGTAACATTTCAGTATGAGAGGGGAAAATAAAAAAGCAAATGATGAGATGACAACCAGGGGTCGTTCATTTTTATTTCTGTTGTCAATTCTCCTGGCAGTGCTGTCACCACTGAAGTGGAGCAAGGCAGATATTCACTTACATTCAGTGACACTACAGAAAAATTAGCCAAGATAGTAAATAATGTCCCTGAAGAAAATAATAACATACTCATTCAACTTTTATGTATTTCATTCTCCTCATGGTTGTTTTGAATTCCATCTGCAAAGTGTTTTGTAGCTTTAATACCACCCTAACTGAGTGTTGTCTTTTTCTGGCCTTTTGTTTAGGAATCAACTGGTGATCCTAAATTTTAGGTTGTGTTCATTTTTACTCCTTCAAAGTTCTGTATTAAAGAGAAAAGTACAAACTTGTAAATCAGCAGAGAATCAAAGAGTCTTATTTGTTGATTTTTATTTTTATTTTTCAAATTTAATTAGTTTGACTAGGACCAAGATGTCCAGTGAGTGGCCTGCAAGCTGATGGTTAAGATCAGGTTGCTCCTACAGATAGACCTGTTCATCTTCTGTTTCTGCCCAGTTTGCCTAAGTGTTGTGGAAAAGAAACACAGGGTGTGAGGCACACAGTGTTTGGGTGGTGGCCAAACCTCTGCCCGTGCCTGTGTGGCTGAGCAGGGCACAGATTGCCCATGTGAGGAGGTGTGAGCTGTGTGTTAGTGCTCAGGCCATTTGTTTTAGGAAATGTCAACCTGCTGTGTGTGAATAGCAGGTCTGTCCTTTGTCCCAGGACAGAGACCTCCTATGATTGCCATTGGAAAGAGTTGGGTGATAATTGTATTCAGAAGGACTGTCACTCTTTTTAATCAGATTGGCCTTTTGCAGTTCCATTGTAGTTTGATGGGATTCTCTTACACTTCCATATATGTTACTTTAATATTATTTGTGTGAGTTTTATACAACTTAGAGGGCACTTGTTAAGGGGTAATAAGCACTAATAAGCATCATGTCTGTCAGCCTGGTTGTCTGTCCCACAAGATCACAGGTGAGCTGAAGAGCACAGCACTGGAGAGAGAGTGCTGGGGCAGTGAGAATACCTTTCTGTGGAGTGAGAACATGTTGAGACATGAGGGATCCTGCTCTGGTGAGGTCTCTGGGCGTTTCCAAAGCTGCTTTGCCCTGTGCTGAATGTAGCCCATGGACACCTGCAAGTAACCACTGCAGTTCTGACAAAGAGTAACTGAAGAGCCAAAAAAGGGACTGGCACTTTCTTTGTCATTCATTTACTTGCCTGGTAGTCATTTCTCTTCATGGCTGTCTTCCATTCCCACTGCTCTGCACCCTGTGGTCCGAGACTCACTGCTTTGTGTGGATGTTTGCTCACACTGCTGCACACTCTCAATAACTGCTTGGACCTGACAAATGCTGAGTTGTGCTGTTTCCAGCAGCCTGCAGTGCTGAACCCTTATTATTGGGAGATACTTGTGCTATGCATATTACAGATTTTTAAATAGATGTATGTATTTGTTCCCTGTGAAAAGATTTATGTATTTATTATTTTTATACTTAAGCAGCCTTCCTTTGATAAGGGCTCTGCCTGATGACCTTACTCATGCTGCACTTCTAATTCTGGTTGTCTGTATTGAGTTGGAAGCCTAGATGTATGTATTTGTTCCCTGTGAAAAGATTTATGTATTTATTATTTTTATACTTAAGCAGCCTTCCTTTGATAAGGGCTCTGCCTGATGACCTTACTCATGCTGCACTTCTAATTCTGGTTGTCTGTATTGAGCTGGAAACTTACAACTGTCTCTTGGTTTGTTTAATGTGGCAGATGGGGGAAAAGGAAAGAGTTATCTTAAATATTTGACTTGTATAATGTTTTTTTTATTGATAGTTGGTTTAAAAGTAGTACATGGCATAGGTAAACTTCTAAGCCATTTAATCTCTGTCTTGGTGATATGACAGTTCTTTTAATGGTGAATTGTAGATGCTTTAGAGTAGCAGAAAAGATGGAATAGTCACTGAGGAAGGAAATGCTGTAAAATGTTGTTACTTTCAAACCTATAGGTAGTTTTTATAAGAAATTTTGGCTGTAACATGATGAAACGTATAATTTTAACAGTAGTCACTGAATATATAACACTACTTGAAAAACAATTGTCCTAAGCTTTTCCTAAACTGTTGGGTAATCCTGTTACAAAATGCAGTACTATTAATTATAAAATGGTGATGTTTCTACTTATTTTTAGGAGCATATGCAGGAAGAACCCAAAGAAAGAAGCCAAATGTTGTGACAATTTGAGAAGACAGCACTCATTGGGATAAGATGGCTGTTTTTTCATGATGGCATTCTCAGCACTGATTTTAAATATTGCATCATCTTTACATATGTGTATAGTTAGAAATTATAAAAGTACTTTGTCATTTTCAGGTGGCACATTAACACAGTCACACTGAGGTAATAAAGGGCTTTGAAGCTCTAATACTTGTGAAAAAACTGCATGTTAAAACTTGGATGTACATAATATGGTAAGATTATGATCTTGTTTATTTCAAGACCACCACAGGGCAACATGAAGGTAATTTGTGACTTTTTCTTCCTAATTCTTGTGTCTGACACATGCTTTTTGTCTTGCAATTTCTGTATGTGATTGCCACCATAAGGAAGTCATGGATCTATATTTAGTTTCATACCAAAAAGCAGCTAAATGAGAAGACACAAACTTAATTTAAACAAACTTGAGTTGTCACATAAGCGAATTTGTCAGCAGCTTTTTGAATGTACTTTCTGTATGAATGAGATTCCTCAATTTCAGGACTAATGGCCTAAATGTTTTGCATTTCTGCTGAGCTGGACAGACATGGATCCAGATTCCCTGCAGGGCAGATGGATGTGCTTTTGTTGACTGTACTAAAACTGTGCATTTTTACATGTGGTAGACTAAAGAGTCCTGGGATTTTTTTTCCCTGCTGTCTACTGCATTTTCTTATGGAAACAACATTTGGCCATGATGGAGATGTGTATGTTTTACAAGAATTTCAGAAGGCAAGATTTTAATTGTTTTACCATTTCAGACTTAAGTAGTAATTTCAGTCCACAATAGTAATTCAGATACATTGTGTTTCATTGAGGACAGTTGCAGTTTTTCTGAGCAGTTTCTCTTCTACTGTGATCTCACAGACTCTTGTACTGAAGTTATGATTTCAGGAGGGTGGGAAATCCCCCCCAGATCCCAACGAACACTTTCATATTTGTGAATATCTAACATTGAAGGATTGTGGTCATATTTTGGTCTTCCAACTATCCATCAACTTGAGGAGAGCACAATTCTTTGTCTTTTAATGAACTTTGGGATATGATATTAGCTTAGTCCTAGAGAGAAAAGCTTGGCTGTGTGACCTTTGCAGTGCTTAGTCTTCTGCTCCAACAGCAATAGAGAACTGATTGTTCAAATGTGAAATGGGTTATATTTTGTTACTTTCCCAGCATTTATACAATGCAATGCACTAACTCTGGAGGCTTTGTAACATGTTGACATGGATACAAGTGATAAAAGACTGAAAATTTCGTTGTGTTAGATAGTCAGCATGAAAGAGGAGCACTGGTAGTGGGATGAGGACAGTCCCTTCATGGGCAGTGACAAGTGAATTGGTTTGCTTGTGGCAGCAGTTGTGGCTTTTATGTGCCAACATGTCTGTCCTCTGCAGGTAGTGACATTGTTCAAAAAAAGTGTGTCATACCATGCAGTAATTAATTACTCAAATTACATACTTGGAAAATGGCAAAAATGCTGCCCAAGCACTTTGAAGAATGACACTGCTTGGTGGCTCTTTAGAGTGGCAGTGATTTGAAAACCTGGGGACAGGAGCCTCCCCTGAAGGTGTCAGAGTTTACACCAGTGAAGGACATGACTCCTTCATACAAATGCTGTGCTGCTTTAAAATCTCAATTGTACTACAGAAAAGGCCTGAGACAACCTTTCTGCTCACCCAGTGGGCATCAAGGCACTATTTTGGTTCCAGCTTTCCTTAGGAGTGAAAAACAGCTCAAGAGGGGAAACATTGACAGTGACAAGAGTAATCTGTGTCACAGGTTGCTGTTCATATAGCAGTACTAAAAATTGATGTTATAAAGGATGTTTTATGTGCTGTATTTATTATTAGCATAGGCAATATGTTGATGCACAGATAGGTTTAGTGTAAGTGATAGCTGAAATGAATGTTTGCCTTCTGTTCAGGTTTCACATCTAAACCTCTTTTCTTTAAGCATGCTTCAAGTGTGACAAAGCATTGTAGCACAAGCTTGTTTTTAACTTTTCATGAGGCCTTTCTCTTGACAAGTGCCAGAATTTGGTTTTGTACTTGATGTTTTGTATTTATACATATTTATCTTGATTTTGTGTGCAATTGTGATACCATTATAAAAGTCTATTTATTTTTGTACTTTTATTTCTCTTTCACCAGTCTTGCTTTTTACTTAAAGCATTCTGCACAATAAACTTGGAATCTTTAACAAGAACTGTCTTTCTGTCTTTTCTTTTGGTGTAAAATGAGGACAGGACCCCAGTGGGGGTCCTGGGCTCTGTCTCCTTGTCACTGAAATAATGGAATCAAACCCTTTAGCTCCAGTGTGGAATTAAGGAGCACCATTATTTCTTATGGCACTGGGTGCACAGGGGATGCTCCTCCAAGCTGTGTCCCAACTACCCAAACTTCTTATTTACACATTTCAGTAAGCAAAGAAATTAGTGCTTGTTGGTTACAAGATACCTAACTCTTATTTATTAGTTTTCTATCCTCTATTGGTTAGTGATTCTCTCACTTCTAATGCTAATCAGTTGCTTTTGAGTCAGTGGCTTCTTGGATGTCTTCCATGGGGGTTTTGGATGGTCTCTGATGGTCCCTGGTGGTTGCTGAGATGTCCACGTGTCCTTTCCATGAACTTTGAGTATTCCTTCCATACATGCTCTTGGCTTAGCTCGTTATCTCATTTGCAATTATAAACTTCCTTATCTTGGTCTTTATTGCCTTCTGCTGGCTCCTCTGCACTGCTCCAGGATGAACTGGTCACAGGTGTGAGAATTTATGTCCTCGGGTTCATTCCTGTCTGAGGCTCCCTACAACACCTCCCCTTTGAGGGAGTTATGTAAAAGACCTTATGTTGGGGCCTGGCTAGCAGAGGAGCTGTAACCTGAGCAACAGTTAAAGGAATGCTTAAGCAATTAAAAACAAGACACACAAAGTAGGTCTTGCTGACCTTGTTTCTATCTTCATGCATTCCTGTGTCTTCAATCCAACACTTTATAATGGTCTTGTTCTCTCCTGCTGCCAGGGTTTTTAGGTTTGGTTTGTTTTACTGCCTTATAGATAAGTCGTTTTGCTAACAAGCTAAAATAGTACTGTTACTTATATTCTCATAGACACTATGTAGTTCTTGCTATCAGTTTCCCAGGATGGGAGAGCGGGATGCAGCTTAAACTTGTAACCTATCATAAGTAAGAATTGTACACACTGACAAGTGGAGCAACCAATCCAAAGTTGTGTGATCAGTGTGTGACTGCATGTACAGGAGACTTTTTACTATAAATACTGTTAGGTGCCCAAAATAAAGTTGGCTATCAGAGCATCATATTGGTGTGCTGTAGTCCGTCCCTCTCAAGGACCTCGACAACCTTACCTAAACCCTAAGACTACCTTGCTGATTCCGCACCAATTAACACGATTTTGCTAATTTCCTAACAATGCAGAACCTTGAATAATACTCTGAAGGAGAAAGTAACACAACTACTTGGAAGTCCTACATGACAAGCGGAGGGTGCGAACGGTACCAAGCTGTGAGTCGAGGCACGTTCCTTGCCCAGGATGGGACGCAGCCGTTAGTTCCCGCGGGAGTCGCACGTGGGACCCACGTGGGTTTGCGTGGCGCGCGGCGGAAGTGGGCGCCGCTGGGTCATGTGACCGGCGCAAGATGGCTGCGATCCCGTGGTGAGGCTGTGGGCGCTCACCGCACTGAGCCCGTCCCTGTCCC